CCTGGCCCCTCTATAATAATTTTTAATACCTTCCTCAAAAGGTATGATTCTTACATCTCTTTTAGAATTGTCTAGGGGCTCTTGGACAATCTTTGTATTGTTCCTTGTGTTTCTTCTCAATCTTACTGAGTAACTGCTCTTGTAGGTTCACTTTGTCTTCAGTCATGATATCCTTTCTTCCAATTCATCTTCCTAGCACTGAGGCTTTTAGTGAAGTTTTCTATTTAACTGATTGAGGTTTTCAGGCTGTTTCTTTTTGAGAACTTTCGTCTCTTTACAGCACTGGTCTGTCCCATCTTGCACCATCTTCTTTAATTTGTTCTGTTGCTTGTTTACATCTTCTCTTAGCTTGTTGATCATTTTAGTAATTGATTCATTTAGCTGCTTGCTGGTCTCTTCTTCTGTTTTACCACTTGCTGCATGCATTTGAAAAGTTTCCTCTCAGATTTGATCCACCTCAGCAGCCATGGGCTCAGTGTTAGGGGAGTTATAAATTTTTGGAAGTACCTGGTTGTCTTGTTTTCTCATGATTCTTGTTTTTGTGTTAAAGTTTGCAGACCAGTTGCTGTGGGAGACTCTCCTAGGAGTGTAGACATCTCCTTAGGAAGTGATTTTTTCTCCTCTACTGTGGCTCAGCATGAAGGCACCCATTCAAGCTGTTTAAGATACAGTACTGAGTGCATTGCTGGCACTGCATGTGCAGAGAGAGCTGCTAGCGGTAACATCGACATCCGAAAAGCCAGGCACACACCAAGACAAGATTTAAAACTTGTTTTAAATGTTCTCTACCCTTCAAGTAGCTACAGAAGATAAAGGAATACTAGTAATATAGGATAGATGAGGAAATAGGAGGAAAGACAAGAAAACATGAAGAGGAAGGGAAGAAAGAAAATATGGCTTTAATGACAAATTTATATACCAAGAAAGGATGGAGTGAAGAGAGTGCAGGAGGTTTTGTGAGGGGAAGAAAAGAAAACAGGGATAGGAATATAAGTGCACAGCGAGAGAAGATGTGGGAAGATTGGCTCCAGTTAGTAAGTGCACAGGAACGTGATGTTAGAAGATCTAAATATCAACCTTTAGAGGAAGAGAATTTGCTAAAACAAGGTCAGACTCTACAGAAACAAAAGCAATAACTAATCTAAACTTAATATACATGTTGCAATGTACTGCTACAGGTAATTTTTCTGTATTTCTAAATGCCAATATTTAAGCGTTTTGCCTGGCTAGTAGCTCATTTAGTTAGTTAGTTTGTTTATTTATTTATTTTGCAATACCAGGGATAGAACTCAGGCCCTTGGGTTTACCCAGCAGGCACTTATGCCACTGAACTATCTTCCTAGCCCATGCAGCTCCTTAGTTTCCTGTGGTACCCTACCACCTTTCAAATATCCCGATGACTCTTAATATCAGAATAATGCAGACCCATACTATTATGGCTTACATCCCTCAAAAGCTCCTTGGGTTCACAGTTGGGGCTTTTCAGAAGTAGTTGGATCTAGATGTGGGAATATGAATTAAGGGTGTACGATAACTACGTGGGCTTAGCACAGTTCTGGGTGTGGATGGTGAAGGCCCCACCCGGATGTGAGTGGCACCAGTCAACGGGTTAATAGCCTTGGATGGAAAATGAGGGGAGTGATGGAAGGCCGGCTTCGCTGCCTCCTGCCTGCTCTGCCATCGACTGTTTCTCCTCTGTGATGCCCCTCTGCCATGCTGCCCTGCCTGGGGCCAGCCTACCATGGACTAACACCTCTATGAACTGTAAGGCAAAATAAAGCTTTCCTCCCTCAACTTGTGGGTGTCGGACATTTTGCCTCAGTGATGAAGAAACTAAGACACATCCTGTCTCTCAGGATTCCAGACTGAGCTGTCCTCTGTCACATAGCCATTCACGCTATGATCCACACAAGAAAGATTTACTGGAAGCCATTTTGTCCCAGGTACTGAACTGGTATTGGGATGCGAGGGCTGTGCCCTTAACAGCCCACACAGATCGGATTGCGAGATCGAATTGTTTATGGCTTGAGAACATCAAGCCCACTTCGATGTATCTTATTTTTTGCTCTGTACAAGTTCTGAGATTTGTGTCTTTCCGGGAAGCAATGAGAGTATGAGGAGCCTATGACTAAGTAGCAAATGACAGGAACTGCACCCTGGCTCGATCTTGTCTTATGCTCTGTATTCAGAGCCAGGCAAGAGTTAAAGAGTTTGATAACAGATAAGCGCCCAAGCAAAGCAGGGCAGTCCGGTGCCTCTGTAGGTAGCCAGAGCTCTCCCCTCCCTGTGCGCTGCCCAGCCCTGCCTACCTGCCTCTGACGCAGGCAGCCAAGGGTCTGAGCGAAACTTGTTGGAGCCTCCAATTAGATCTGTGTGGACAAAGGGCACGGGCACATGCACACAGCATCCTCAGATAAGGAGTGGCAATAAATCCTTCAGCACATCCACATTCGGAGAACAGAGAGCAGAGTCCCTGCTGCCTGGTGAGTGTTGCTGGGTGCCTCGCACCAAGATGGGCTTCAAGGTAAGACCTTATTCTCTCTCTTTTTGGACAAATTTAATACTTCCTTGTCATTTTTGTTGCTTATTAGAAGAATTTGACTATCAATTTTACTACTGATTTGTTGGAAATTTCCTTTCCTTTCGTTCTTGTTGTTTTGGGGTCTCTCCTTACAGTGCAGTGTTGTTCTGCATAATATCCTGTCATTTTCATTGTTTTTCTTCTTTCAATCCTTCTGTATTTTAAGTAAATTTGTGTTTGAAAATCCTTTAGGTAGAGAAGTGAAGGATCTTAAATAATTGCATGTAGTATTTGGTAAAAGCTTATTTTGGGATTTGGTTCGCTTGGGACCTTGGCCAACTGAACTGCTGTTTGAAGAATGGGCTTCCGCTCCTGGCCTCGGAACTGAGTAGGTCAGCTCTCGCGTTATATCCAGTGTTTGAGGCTGATGCTGAACTCCAGAGAAATCATTTAAAATTATCTTCTGCTTTATCATGACATTTGTTCATTATAGAATACTCTATTTAGAAATAATAAAAATGAAAAAGAAGATAATTGAAATCATTGGTTATAAACAGACAATATTTGAATATTAAAAATGGACCTATACATTTATTTTTACTTAAGTGAATTCCAGCTATAAATAGAATTTAATCTCTCTCTCTCTCTCTCTCTCTCTCTCTCTCTCTCTCCCTTGCTCGCTCCCTCCCTCCTTCTCTCACTTAACATTGTATTTAGGGTATTTCCTAAGTCATTATGATTGCTTGAAAACATGACTTTAAAATATTCCATTTTTCAATAATAAAAATTCAGTTATTGATAATTTTGATGATTAATCTTTGGCTGTATCACTGGTAGTTTCTTTAGGATAGGTAAATTGGAGTTGATAAATCAAAAGCAAACATGCACTAAAAAAATTAAAATAGTAAATGTAAAGAAGATGAAATTTTTAGGACTTGATACACTTCATGACAGTGACCAATTTTAATAATTTATTTTTTCCCAATTTTAATAATTTAAATGATTGGTACTGCTGATAATACAACAGAAGCCACACAAATGAAAATGAACTCTTTACCAAACTATGATTACTTGAAGCGTGACAAGGTGCTGGACGGAATGCTAGTGAATGATGGGAAACCCTAGATGGGCCACTAACCATGCAAGGCTTCATCTTCACAGGGTAACACATCTTTCTGAGCAGGGGCTTGCAGCTTAAACAAAGGAATAGGCGCACGGCTAAGATTCTACAACAAAGGAAAATGGTGGAGTGGAACTATTCAAGTTGAGAAGCTTGGGATTTCACCCTATTTGACACCCGTTTTCTGACCCTAGACAGATCTCCTCAGCTCTTGAGGCTCTGACTGTGGAACTGAGACATGCAAATGCTGGTCCAGCCCAGTGATTTTCCACGAGCATTGGAAATAAATGACTCTGGGCTGCGCGAGACATATGCGGTGGTACATGGGATCTGGACAGAATAGTTTTGTATAGCACATAAAATTATTTTTAGAACATCTTTTAAAATTTATTTTCAAAAGAGAAAAAGTAAAACATAATTTCAAAACATGATAATAGGAGGGTAACAATGGTTAATACATTGCATATTGTTATCTTCAGCTCAGTTACTCAGAGTACAAGGAATAGGCAGTTAACTGTCCAAACAATATTAGCACAAATCTTTCATTTCAATGAACTAAGAGAAATTAATAGCATAATAATCTTAACATATATATATATATATATATATATATATGAATTACTTTTCTAAAACAGTATTTTAAATAAATGAACTTACAGGAAAGAAAGGAAGTAATAGTCCTAAATAATCAATGACGTAACAATGACCCAAGTTTATGACCAATCAATGACCTAAGCAATGACCTAAATAACCAGGATGAGTGGAAATGTCTGACGTTTAAGAGACACAGGGCCCGGTGCTCTGTGCTGCCTGTTAAATATGCTAGGTACAGTTCCAGATATGAACTGTTGGTATGTACTACTTGCCTGGAAGGCCTCCTGGGCATTGGTGGAATTATAATTAAGAGGGAGAAGTGAATGGAGTCAAGGCACAGGAGTTTTTTCAGCACCATCCTACCCACCATAACCTGCCCCACTTTTCGTTTGAACAGTGAGCATCCCTTGCTGGGCAGACCTGCTCTCCACCCCTGGAAAGGTGCCAGCCTTCAACTGGGAGCACCTTCCCGGCCTTGCCATGCTACGGGTCCTCCTGGATGCTCCCCGGCGGCTGCTGAAGGAAGGGAGAGAGTCCCGGCAGCTGGTGCTGGTGGTGGTGTTTGTAGCTCTGCTCCTGGACAACATGCTGCTTACCGTGGTGGGTAAGTTAAGACCTCTTCGTACTGAGGGTTCTTTGGCTTTGGGCCCTGGCAGGCAGCGCACACCCTGCTCAATTGCAGCAGTGAGTAAACTACTTCAAAATGTTTCTGAATGGAGGTCTCTGGGGGTCAAGGAGACCTGCAGGCAATGAGTTCAAATCCTCCAGCCATTGCTACCGAGTGCAGGGGCTCAAGGAGCAGGTGGTTCAGAGAGCATCTGGCTGTGAAAGAGGAGACTAGGCGGCTAGAATGACCTCACTTTTCTTCCTCCTCATTCCGTCTTCCCAGGTGCTGGGCTCCAGTGGCCTCTGAGACAGTAGGAAGCGTTTGCCTTCCAAACCAAGCCCCACCTCTCCCACACTCCTGTTCATTCTGCTTGATGCTCTTTTAATCTATACATGTTATTGTCAGGATATAAATGGTTATTAAAATGTTGCCCCTTGTGAGTATCATGTATGTCTTAAAGTAAGAATCTTCCCAACCAAGCATCTGGGTACACGCCTGCAATCCCAGCATTTGGGCGGCTGAGGCAGGAGGACCACTGCAGGGCCAAAGCCACCCTGGGCTACAGTGTGTCCAAGGCGAGCCTAAATTGCATAGTAAAACCCAGTCTCAAGCAGACAAAAAATGAAACAACCAAAAAACAAAAAACAAAGAACTTTTCCTGAGACAAATAGTCAATAAAATACAGTCAGTGCTTATTATTCATGGTTCTGTAGTTAGAGCTATGTTCTATTACATTGTTGCAAACACTGAATTAGGTAATGCTGAATCATTACTGTAAGCAAAAACACATGCAATGCCCCACTCGCCACATAGATTAACTTCTAAAAACAATGTATCCTGCTTGTTTGCATTTTCTCTACCCGCCCCCAAAATATGTTTGGAAGTGTTGAATGCCACACCCAAGGCCACCTGCTCACAGGAGCTGGAGCTGGGATTTGAGCCTTGGAGAACCACGGCAGAGCAGCGGCCTCTCACACCACACTGGCTCCCAAGCCTCTTCCAGTTCTCTGATCACTGCTGTGTGAGAGCAGAGGTGGGGGAGCAGCACCTACCTTCCTGTACCTCAGCCAGAATGCATGCAGTGGGTGCCTCAATTTTCAGGCACTCTCCACCTCTCTGCAAGAACACAGGATAGCTCAGCAAGTATTGATTTTAGGCTAGAAATCACCTTAGTGAGTAGTGAGTTAGTCAGTACAGAATCCATGAATCCATGAGATCCACTGTCTGATAGCTGGAATTCAGGTCCTTTTGTGAATAGGATGGTATGGGCAGGTACAGTTTTGAGTGGGTAGATGATGGCACTGGGACACCTTCCTTTGGCATAAAATGAATCCCCGTAGCAATGTTCCTGAATCTAGTAATGGTGAGAAGATTACCTTCCTGAGCCTTCACCACAGATCTTCATTGACTTTCAGTGCCCATTGTGCCCACCTTCCTGTACGCCACAGAGTTCAAAGAAAGCAACTCTTCTCTGCACCGCGGCCACCTTCCGAGTTCCCCACAAGCTCCCACTGCTCCTGCCTTCACTGCCATCTTCTCCTTTTTTGACAACACCACCGTAGTCGTGGAAGAAGGTGTTTCCAGGGGAACAGCCTGGCCCAATGGCTCTTCCAGCACCATCCCCCCGCCGGCTACCGAAGCCAGCTCAGCACATAAAAACAACTGCTTGCAGGGCACAGAGTTCTTGGAGGAGGAGAACATTCGGGTTGGAGTGCTGTTTGCTTCGAAGGCTTTGATGCAACTTCTGGTCAACCCATTTGTGGGCCCTCTCACCAACAGGTATTTGGGGGAGCATAGTACTCCACAGGCTCAGGTAGTAATAGCTGTGTGCTGAGGTTTCATGTAGGTGGCTAGACGGGAAAAAGAGGGAACACCCTGGTCCAAGGGGAATCAGCTATTTGGAAAGCTGGTTTCCCGAAAGAGTGATGTACTGGCTAAGTGCTGTGGGCTGCTTGTTTGCTTAGTGATATAATGAATACTAAATATCCAGAAGAGAACCGTGAGCAGCAGCTCACAGCCAATGTCTCCTCAGTGCTCTGGAACAGGGCTTGCATGGGAAAAGCAGGGGAATCGAAGCAGTCTGAAGAGCCGGGGCCCTACTGTTTGGGTCTGGAATTGTCCCGGTGTTTTAGGCGATGTACCCCAGATAAGGTATCTTTTTTGGAAAAGAGGATTTGGCCTTAGTCTACGGGATGAGTTTCATATTTGTTTTATTTACTTGTGCTCATTAACACGTTGTATTCCATCCACACACTTGCATGCCTAGGCAGGTTTTACCATGTACTGAAATTAATTGCATTTCTGTTCCCAGTTACATTGAAAATATATATGTATATGACAGCCTGCTGGAATTGAATCTTGTTCAATCCCTTTTAGGGTCGGATATCATATTCCCATGTTTGCTGGCTTTGTTATCATGTTCCTCTCCACCATTAGTAAGTAATTTGCTTCCCTTCACTGCCTTTCACTGAGTGCCTTTGATTTTATCATGCAGGATAGAGAACAGGCCCAGTTCAGCCCAGAGTATAATTAGGCATCTGAGTAAGTGGACTCGAGCATAGATTTGAATGCTTTGTAATTTTTGGACTAGAAACTAGAATAGTCGTGGCAACTAAAGATAGTTGAAACGTGTATATTCTGTAGAAGAACAGGTACTTCATTTGTGTCAGTGAAAACTATGAAAGCAGTTTAAATGCATGAGCTACAGTGTGTGTGTGTGTGTGTGTGTGTGGTGTGTGCCACTATCAGTAACCCCCTGTGTAAGTTTAGTACAATCATCCACTCCATGTTTGGGACGGTATCATAGCATCCTGCTTTGCCTTGGTAAAGGACAACTAAGAGAGTACAGTGAGATTTGGACAATAGTGACTGAAAAAATTCAAAAAGCGTAGTGCTTTCCAGTTAAGGGCATTAAAGGTTATAGCTTAGCAAAGTAAATTTGCTAAAGGAACAAGAAAGCAAAAGGGCAAATACTCTTTCCTGTATTAGCTAAATGTTCTTAATAAAATGGGGATGGAATAGAAATAGTAAGAAAAGGACCACTGGTACTGAAATGGAAAGTAAATGAAAGTGCAAGGGGAATCCACCTTCACCCTAATGTGATGTTGCAGCAACAAGCAGAAACCCCTAAACGACCCCCAGGATTTGGAGGCAGATTTCTTTAACATGGGACGGGCACTGACAAGGCGTCAGTTGGCCCTCAACATGTCAGGCTCAGGGAGCGAGGGCTTTAGGTTCTGCAGAGGGGAGGTACAGAGGTAGAATAACTACTATCTTGGATTGGTTCTTTTTTTTTTTTTTTTCCTGGAACTAGGGATTGAACTCAGGCCCTTGCGCTTGCCAGGGAAGCGCTTATTCCACTGAGCCATCTCCCAGGCCCTTTGGATTGGTTCTTACAATGTGTGTCAGTGAGCAGTTGTTTCTAGGAGACAGGAACTGTAACAGGAACTAGCATCTCAGCAGGAAGCTGCCGTATCCTGGCTGGGGACCATTTTGTGTTACAGCATAAGGGAAGGCAAACTGTGGATCCGCCAGTGACTCCTGCAGACTCTGCTGACTTCCTGCCTTCCAAACATGTAACTGATTCTTTTTATTTCTGTTAGCTTTCTGTTGATTATCTACTTCCTGTACAACTCCTCTGCCATTTCTCTTGCCTCCCAGCATAGGATTTGATTCCTAGTGACAAGAGCATGTTACAATCAGGGCTAGGAATTAAAAATTAATGAGATCATCAAGCAAGTCTATTTTTTTTTTTAATTTTAAAGAAATCTTGGGAGCTTGCTGGTTAGCTCAGTAGTTTAAGTGCCTGCTGGAGCAAACCTAGTCAGGTGCAGGAGGCCTCTGTTCAATCTCCAGCTCCACATGCCTCACCTGAGCCAGCTTAAAATTTTATTTATTTATTTATTTATTTATTTATTTATTTATTTATTTGGAACAGGGTCTTGCTCTGCAGCTCAGACTCATTGTGATCCTCCTGTTTCAGCCTCCCCAGTGCTAGGATTATAGATATGTGCTGCTATCCTTGGTTTAGGTGGCCAGCAAGGTGCGCCCGTGGTTTGGGGCCAGCAAGGCATGAGGTACTGGGGATTGAACTCAGGTCCTTATGCTTGCCAGACAGAAGCTAAGATTGCTGAGCTATCTCCCCAACCCCACAGATCTTAAAAATCATTCCACAAAACTTTATGCAGCTCATGTAGCATGTTGCTTAAAGAAAGAAAAGACATGGTTACAGGGCTCCAGAAGTATATGGTGACTAGGGAAAAATACCATGCAAAATAATACCATGCACTGTATTAGTGGGGCCCAAACTCATTAGCCTTATGTCCTCGTCTCATTCTCTGCCAGGAACTCATTTTTTTTTTTTTAACCTTTCTACAAAGCTTTATTCCTGAGGGGCTCAGTCCTTCTTGGCAGCTGCCTTCCTCATGGCGGCCAGCACGTTGCTCAGCTCCTCACGCTTCCTCTTGGTGCGGATGTGCATCCCCACCCTTTTCTCAATGAACTTGAGTGCACATTTGTCCTTGGAGACCTTGAGCAGCGCGCTGTGCCGCTCATAGGGGGCAAAGCCGCACACCTCCTGGATCATGGCCTGCATGAACTTGGTGCGTTTGGTGAGGCATCTGCAGTGGCAGCTGTCCCTCTGTTTGCTCACATTCTTAGTCACTTTGTGGCCCTTGTTGAGGCCCACAGCCATGGGATAGTGGAGGGCCATGGCTACTCTTCCTTGGTGGTTGCTCAAGAACTCATATTTTAAAGGCTTTTCTCATCTACTAAGCAGTATGTGATAAATCACAAATTTTGTTTCCGTAAGATCACCTGTGTTGCTGTACTGATTTAGCACAATTCTATCTCATGCAAAGTGTATTTAGCAGTTGGAACATCCCTCTGTAACATCATTTAGTGTCTAAAAAGTACAAAAGAAAGGTTATTGATGCCCACTACAGCTGTCAAAAGTCCCTATCTTGATACCATGCTTAATGTAATTGGGAGCTAAATAGTGGCCGGGGTTGGCAGCACAAAGGAAAAAGGACACTGCTTTGATCTTTCTAGAGTGACCAGCCTTCCTGTCTTGCCCATCCTCTGGGGGCTTCACAGAATAAGAGACATGCAACTTTATGGCTAAGAAAATCTGGGCACACTAAGACAGGTTGGCCACTCTGTTCTCAAAGGACAGAAGAGTGGTAGACTGTGGATGGATTGGAAATCTGTGAAATGGCATTGGAAGGCCTGTGAAGGGTACTGAAGGCCAGGAAGGGAGAGACCAGGAATGTGCTTACTTGGAAGACAATAAGTGCTGAATGTGATTGTGTCAGGAAGCCAGACACAGCTTTAATGAATGACCCAAAGGATTATAATTCTTCCAATTCAGAAGGGTTTAATTCAGGAGGGATTCTTCTCTCTTTTGGAAATGTTGTTCTGCAATTGAGGCCAAGGCATGTCTGAGCCTACCAACCCGACTGCCAACACTCTGTAATTTAGTTTTTCTAAGTTAAACTAAATTCCTGTTCGATTCTCATTTTCATGTGTGTCAGTCTCCAATAGGCTGAATGTCTTGAGAGGTATGACCTGGATGTTCTCTCTGTCTCTGTCTCAGTCTCTGTCTCTGTTTCGCTCAGAGTCTAGCAAAGCCATGCATTCAGTATTATTAATTTGACTTGATCAAAAGATCTTCCAGCATGAAGTAAAGGGAAGGACCTGATCACATGACAGAGTCTTTTCTACTTAGTGCCTGTGGTTCCTGATGTGCACACATGTTCTCATAGTCCTCTGGGTAATTTGTGTGGCCCATAACAGAAAAGGACAAATTTGTATCTTTCAGAAGTCCTAGGGTCTAAGTTGGTTCCTACTAACTCCAAGCCCAGGCATTGGGCTTCATGGACATCTGATTCCAGTAGATAGGATGTCAGGTTTTCACCAAGATACACGGAGAGCTGGCCTTCTGTCCACTGTGCAGCGGCTTGGCTTATATGCATGTGGTTTCCCAGTCTTCTTCCTGATTAAAAATCAGTTCTGGTTGAAGGCTTGGGAAGATTAGAAAGATAACTCAAGAACAGATAGTAAAACAGCCATGCTCTATTAAAAGATACACATAAATGAGTCATCTCAGCTGTGTCATGGTGTGTCATCTGGCGGCTGGGCAATCTTAGGCAGCTTGGTGACCGAAGCCTTCTTGGTGTTCTCTGTGCACAGTGTTTGCTTTTTCTGGCACCTATTCCCTGCTGTTTGTGGCCCGAACCCTCCAAGGCATTGGATCTTCATTTTCCTCGGTTGCAGGTAGGACTGCCAGACCTTTTTTGTGACCTCTTGCTGCCTCAAGCATTGTCATATTCACATGAAGAGATGAAGGAAAATATCATTGTTCTAGGTAGAAATTATAATTTGGGAACAAGTTAAGTGTAGGTTTGCTAGCAGGGCCTATAGATCCCTAAGCCTGTGATAACTTCCTGTGATAATTAATATTCACCTGCAGCTAGCACGGGTCAGAACAAGTCCATGTAAAGCCATGAAGTAGCTCAAGCCTTTATTCAGTGCCATTTTGCACTTTTTTCTGTTAGCCTCTTGTTTCATGAAAGGCACTATATTAATATTGTCAGAAATACCAGTATAGCTTGCAAAGTATTGCTAAATCCTTGACAATGTTTCAAGGACTCTTGTGAGGCTGCTCTGCCATTTTCCAATAGTAAATATCCAGAAACCACAGCTTCCAGGTACTTCCAGGTCATGCCCCTTCCCTGGTGCTGGGCATGTTCATGCTTCTCCTTGGGCACCACGTTGAATACGATAGTCTGTATTCACTGGCGTTCCTTTCCTTGGTTCATAATCAGACAATGGTATTCTATATTACCCTTCCCAGAAGCCTTTGCACTTCCAAACTTGTTAATTATCAGGGCAGTGAGTAGTGTGAGGATTTGGGGGACCAGCGGGGAGCAGTATTTGCAATATACTGTGGACTAAGTTTTGTGAGCTAACACTTAAGCTGTGACTCCTAGATTCTTACTCAAGATATAGTAGAGCAAGGACAAAAGACACTGTGGGGACACACAGAAACCTCTCATAGACCAACATCCTCTGTCATTCTCAATGCAGGTCTTGGAATGCTGGCTAGTGTCTACACTGATGACTACGAGAGAGGAAAAGTCATGGGAATTGCTCTGGGTGGCCTGGCTTTGGGAGTGCTGGGTAAGGCAGTGCAAGAGCCAGGGTAAAGGCAGACTTTCCTCACTCAGAAGCCACGCTCTGAACAAGAAGGTTACACTTCTCCTTGAAGTTCACTTATGTCGCTCAGTTGACTAGATCTGACCCGCCTCGTCTTTCTGTGGAGCATTTCCTTCACGTCAAAGACACTGCTAGCACAGAGGGCATGCAGGAGCTCCAGACATATGGAGTCCTGCCTACTGGGAGCTTCCAAGCTCACTGAGATGGCACCTAAAATCTTTCCTAGATTGGGGCTACCTTCTACCACCATGGGAAAGAGAGGAAACAAAGTTCTGTTCCTGTTAGTATCCACCCACCTAACACTCAACTTTAAAATTTGGTGCATCCCAGGTTCCCTCATCCCAGTCAGTTTCAAGGGGACAGATCCATTATGTGCTCTGCAACTGCTTCAAGGCCAGCTCACCTGTTCTTGGTTGGATCTTGACGCCAGTCTCCATCTGATCCCTTTCACATTCATGGTGCTGCCAGAGGAATTTTCCTGAGCTCAGAGTTGATGGTGTTTCTCTTCAGCTAAAAAGAACTAGTGTTTCTCCCTAGGCCAGAAAGTCCAGTAGACACCTCATCCAGATATCTGGAGGTATTGGCTCAGTGGTCTCAACTACCCCACCTCTATTTCTCTCCTCCCAAGTACTCATATTCTAAGGACACTGATTTTCTTCTCCAGTGGCACCATTTTTTTCTGATACCTCTGTGTCTTCCTTACATGCTTCCTGCTTTTGCATGTGGCAAAGCCCATAAGGCCACCTAGACTCTGGCCCAAACCCCTGGGCTTTTGCAGCACTTGGTGCACACACCTTTTACCACCTCCTAATTATTTGTCCCCAACCCCCTAAGTGCATTTTTTTCACTACAAGAATAAGGTCCAAGTCCTCATCCCTGAGCCCCCCAAGCCCCCAATGGAGCTTAGCGCTTAGTAGGTCCTCAATAAATCCTCACCTTGTAATGTAGATGAGTCTCACTGGCTGGGATGGGGCTCTCCTCTGTCTATGCACTGCTTTGCCTTTCTAGTGGGAGCTCCCTTCGGAAGTGTGATGTATGAGTTTGTTGGAAAGTCTGCCCCCTTTCTCATCCTGGCTTTCCTGGCACTACTGGATGGAGGTAAGTCAGGAAGGGGGTCCTGGGCATCTGGGTCCAGGTCAGATTGGTAATGGTAGTCTGAGTCTTTACTACTGATAGGTGGTGGGGATGTGTCTTGGTGGAGCGGGGACTGCCCCATCCTAGATAAGAAGATGCTAGCTGGTAGCACTGTGGCTGTTATTGAAACCCCTGCCTGACCAAGAACAAGCCAAACTCTTCCTCTGTTCTCTTCTTTCTTAGCACTCCAGCTCTGCATCCTGCAGCCTTCCAAGATCTCTCCTGAGGTGAGTGGACACCAGTTTCACCACTAAGAGATGCACAGAATGGCTGCTGGGACCCAGGCATGCCTGTTACACTGTTGGGTAAAATGGGAAAGAGAATAGTCAGATTCCAGATAGTGTTCCACTTAGGTTTCCGCCTAGGGTTGCATTGAAGATAGCCTGGGCAGAGGCAAGAGAGCCTGACAAAGATGGAAAGCCAAAGAAGCCTTATTTTTGGGGAAGACTGTCAGAGGCTTCCAGACAAGCTTTCCGTACACAAGGCCTTCTGTCAGTCATCCCCAACGGAGGATCACTGTGTCACAGATAGTGAATACCAGAGTTGTATTAGTCTGATTCCATGCCAAAGATGGGAGTGTGAGATCAATATCAAATCATAGTGTGATGAATTGCTCAGCAGGCAGCAGAGGAAGAGTGCAGGGAATATGGAAAAGTTCAAGCTAAAGACCTTGGCTTTGCGTCTTAAGGGTGATCAAGGTGTTCCAGAAGTAATTATAATAATATGCCCAATAGTACGCCATCTGTGCTTTGTCTTCCATGTTTCAGTCTCGATCTGCAGTCACAGAAGTTGAAGGTAAAGTGACAAGCCTCTGAGATAACTTGACACTGTGACAGATTTTGATGGTGGCAGTGCCGACGCAGGGCTATTTCCTGAATGTAATGGCAGTAGAGTTATCAAATTCAGGAAATGTAACACTGATGTAATATCCAAAGTTCCTACTCTGATGTTTTGATTATCCTAATAAAGTTCTTTCAGCAGTCTTTTTTTTTTTTTTTTTTTTTTTAAGGCATCAGCATAGGCTTTGGTCTATGACTATGTGGACATACTTTCGTGTGTCCCATCTTTTAGTCTCCTTTTAAAGAAAGGTCCTCTGCCTTTCTTTATCTTTCATGACATTGATTTTTTTGAAGCACATGGTTATGTGAAAGACTCTCCCTCCATCTGGCCAGCCTGATGCTTCCTCAGGATCAGCTCAAGGCCATACGCTTCCTGTCGTCCTATCATCTAAGAAATACTGTGTCCCCCTAGAGCTGCAGGCACACCATTCCCACCCACCTCACAGTGGTGATCATTCTGATTACTGGGCCAAGATGTTGTTGATCTCGCCATTGTAGTTATTCTTTTTCACTTTGGAACTGACAAATAGTCTGTGGGTAAGCGGATGCCATATCAATATCCTGTGTCCTCCAAGCTGCACCCACCCCAGCTTCATTGTACGTCAGTGATCCTTGCCGGAGCCACAGCTTCTGTAATATTTGATAAATACTGGGATTTCTATTTTACCAATCGCTCTACATCATCAGTTGCGCCATTCCTTTTTCTATCTTGATGCATAATAAGTGTATATTTATACATGATATATACA